GATCAAATTGAAGTACATTCTCATATGAATGAGTTACATTTTTCAAAGATGGTTCAAGGAAATGATCACCAATTCCATAACAACTTGTCACTATAGGAAAGTCAACAGTACTTCTGTCGAATGAACTCATTTCATAATATGTAGTATCATTATTACAGACATTGGTACTACAAAAACTACCTGTACATGTATCCACATTTGAATTGTTGTTGCAGGAAAGATCATTATCAGAACTAGAATCATTATTTTTAACAGGGGGATCTGACACCATCCATTTATTCAAACATTCAATACCATTTATGATGAATCCTAAACCTCCAAAATCACCTTCAAGATTTCCAAAGCTTTGATCATCAGACCAGAAGCAGGTCGTAGATTTTTCTTGCGCATAATCATGTTTATTTTCAATCGATAATGTTTTCGATGCATTCTCTGTGTTATCCTGATCGTTGTTTTCACCTGACATAATTCCAGAATCATCCTATAAAAGTTAAAATATGAATGAATGAATGAATGAATGAATGAATGAATGAATGAATGGATGAATGAATAAATGAATGAATGAATGAATGAATGAATGAATGAATGAATGAATGAATGAATGAATGAATGAATGAATGAATGAATGAATGAATGAATGAATGAATGAATGAATGAATGAATGAATGAATGAATGAATGAATGAATGAATGAATGAATGAATGAATGAATGAATGAATGAATGAATGAATGAATGAATGAATGAATGAATGAATGAATGAATGAATGAATGAATGAATGAATGAATGAATGAATGAATGAATGAATGAATGAATGAATGAATGAATGAATGAATGAATGAATGAATGAATGAATGAATGAATGAATGAATGAATGAATGAATGAATGAATGAATGAATGAATGAATGAATGAATGAATGAATGAATGAATGAATGAATGAATGAATGAATGAATGAATGAATGAATGAATGAATGAATGAATGAATGAATGAATGAATGAATGAATGAATGAATGAATGAATGAATGAATGAATGAATGAATGAATGAATGAATAAATGAATGAATGAATGAATGAATGAATGAATGAATGAATGAATGAATGAATGAATGAATGAATGAATGAATGAATGAATGAATGAAAAAATAGATGAATGAATAGATAAATGGATAGATAAATAAATGAATGCATAAATGAATGAATAAATTATGAATGAATAAGAGAATAAATATAGATGAATAAGTTCAGATCGATAGCATTACCCGAAATTCACTTTTTCTAATCACTGCAATAATGTTATATGTCGACTTTTGTCTTTTATATCGAGGTACTCAGGTTCTCTTCCGATATTTAACACCATTCCTATAATCACTGGAATCGATCTTTCGATGCGCAGGCATTATACAGGCACACTTCTCAAAAACTGATATAAACGAATAATTCTCAGACGTATTTCGAATAAACATCAATCTGAAATGAAGTACTCAGCGAGACAAACGCACTGAAAAACTGACCTATGACTCCTATGAGACTAATGATTGCTAATGACGAGTTCATTTTCCGACTGTCGGCGTCTTTGTAATCGCCGTCTCATTGTACCCGTCAACCTGCCGCTACCGTTTGGCGGTGCGATGATTTTTTGCAAAGCAAAAAACACATTATAACAAAAGGAATCAATCCACCAATGCCATAATTATTATTACTCAGAATATATTTTTTTGAATAGGTAAATCAGTATTTCATGATTTTTATTCCCAAAATAATAGATATAACAAATGTAAAATGTCTCATAAATCATTTCCTTTATAGGTATCACCTATCCTATAGAGAAGGCAGTATGACTTTCGGACCACCTGTGCTACTTGTCGGCTCAACTTTGGAAATAATTCGTCCACAGTAAAAATCGCTGTGATTCATGTAATCATTATATTATGATGTTTCTTATATATCTATCAATTTGTTGGACTATAAGAAAATAGACTAATAAAAATATCGTGAAGAACAGTCCGGCACTTCCCTGTGTTCGAGGAATTAGAAAATATCTATGAACTGAGTAGATATGACACAGTTGCTTTGTTGATTCCATAATACCTACACCTACATTTATGATAATATCAGGTATAATATAAATTGGATCACAGACTATTTCTTGATAAAATCAAATACCATATTCCATCTTAGGACCATTGACTATCAATAATTCTTTTGAACTTTATGGGAGGAGCTTATTTTCGTTAAATGCCGCGCCTACAGGAAATTTTGTTGTTCACGGTGCCTCCGCTCCCAATTTCCCATGAGAAAACCAAATGAGATTTCAGTGAATAAAAATTATTTTTGAATAGTACTTCATCTGATCTGTGCATCTTATCGACTAGTTTTCCAATTTTTGATTCCGTTACGTAGAAAAAAAATCACGAAATCGGTCAAAAACGCACTACTTCACAGGTGTTTATAAATTAGTCTATACAAAAAAATGAAAATCCATTCGATAAGATGCATCGATTGCACCTTCGACTACCCAGAAAAAAATAATTGAGCCTCTAGGATGATCCATAACTATAGGGGAACTTGGGAGCGGTACCTATTTTATTGGCGGAGGCGCTGCGGAACATGGCCTCTTAAGATGATCCGACGCATGGACTCCAATGGCGGCGTCTGAATAACTTATACGTGAAATCATCACCCGTGGTGTCAACAAATTTTTTTTTCTGTTTCCATGGCTCACCATATCAAGCAACTGTTGTTGTTTGTGGTTTAGTGTTCATCTATTTGTTGAGACATGAGGATGTTATTTGACAAAACATGTTGTTATGATCGCAAAATGTTCTGGAATCTTCTAGAATGATATGCATTGTTATCGACATTGGGTTTCATTTCCGACTCGTCGACTCTCTGAAATGTATCTCTCGCTTTACTCAACAGTGTGTCGATTTCCCAACGTCTACATATCTTGCCTGAATAACAATAGAATGATTGGAATATTACGGAGGTCTGAATACCACAGTGCGTATATAGGCTGCCCCACAATGCAGAGGTCCAATTCCCCAGCAGCGACAGCTCGTTTCCAAATTCATTCATGATGGTGACGTGACGTCGCATAAATAATTCGAATTTTGCGCCAGTCTCTGATTGGTGTAGTAGGCGTGACCTCCAACCAAATAGCCCGTCTACTGAAGTACTGACGTGAAATGCAGTGAGTGCGATTGAATCATTATCAATTGTTTGCCCCGTCATCAACTCACATTCAATGGAAGAAGGTTTCCTTCATTTGATTGAAAATGTTCAATAGTTCTCCCAATGACATGAAAGTTATAACCACTTCGATAAATTTCGAGATAGCAACTAGGTAGGTACGTGAGTGTCGAGATTGAACTTAACAGTACTGATGATTACTTGGAGAATGAAAATTGTTATGAATGTATGTGGTTATGTTCCTATATAAACACTATATTACTGTCTCTTTTTGTTATTGACACTGAGCAATTTTTGTATTTTCAAAGAATCAACATTTCGTATTGTATTGTGGGTATGTGTCTCTAGAATGAAGAGAAAAAAATATTATGAACCGAGTAATTAACGCGCTCTCTAACTGAGCAAACACGATCACTGAATCTTCTACGCTGAGTACAGAGATTCAACGATGTCATATTCATGAATATTCACCAAGGCAGAAAGACCCAAGAACTAAGCAAGGTATCTATACTAGGGAATTCGACCATGCGGATTGCTATGAGGCATACCGCGATCAATTGGGGATACCCCGATCAATGAGAAATACCACGATCAATCAAGGTCTTAATTTGAGTCTGTGCTTTGACGGATGGATTATTATGAATTGCAATCCTCTCAATATTTAAATATTGCATTCTGCTAAAGAAGTGAAATCTTAGAAATATATCGAATAACATTTTTTATTTTCCTCTCTGGGAAGTCTTGATTAGTATTCATGAGGAATCCTGTTAGATATCAATTTTCTCATCGGCAATTCCGGAATGAGTCTATATTTCATGAATACCAGTCAATTTTCGAAATATATGCAGTCCGAGGCTGTTTTATAAATTACATAAAAAACCCGAGTTAATAGAAGTGATATTTTTGTTGTTTTACCTTCAGGATCAGGCATGTAACATATTTGTTCAACAAGGCTTTGCGAGAAAAAGATCCGAGGAAGAAGAGAAGGAAGTTCAATTCTGCTGTGAGATACCATGTCGCCGTTTTGAAGTGAGTATTTTCCATACCATTATATAGACGTGTTTTAAGATTCCAGGTTAGAATGAGAACGAAAATGCATGACTTTTGATTCATCCAAACATCATTTTATCTCTTATCGATGAGATGGAAATGAACCAATAATTTTCACTTGGGCCAGAATTCTTTCAGATATCTCAATTTTCCACAGGGCCGGCAAGGTCGATATCATTGAAATATCTACTCTTGTATTTATTTGATCATGCTTTATATGCCCTGTCTACAATATTACATTCCTGAAATGTTCTGAATAATGTTATAGATATATTTCCGTTTGGCATGAACCTAATTCCTTTGTCCTGTATAGAATTGCCGAATATATCAGAGGATACATCTTCGCTAGTAGATACTCCAACAGGTTATGGGTCAAAATACGCAGTTGTATTTAACCCTGAGTATATCGACAAAATAATAGGTTGTTCACCGGATTTCACCTGACGTTCAAATATGAATATTACCAGAACTCAGATTGGACTTTCAGAAAGTGAAACGAATTGATCAACCTGGAATTGAGGAATAGGTATGTTACTTCGAAGAATTGTTGGAGCTATGCAAATTGAATAATGAACTCTCAGAGAACCGAATGCATTATAGACAGGTGCTAGAGCTGAAGATGTATCAAAGTTCGATGAGGAGCTAAGCAAAACCAATGCTTTGATCATATTCACGATCAATATTTTTAAAGAAACGTTGAAGAAGATCATGAGACTTCTATAGAACGAGGGATTCGAGTCTGTGTAGTTCCTACACAGACTCTCCGACGGCGTATCTGAAAACAAAATTCACGAGCATTGCTCGAAATTATCAGCAAGACACCAGTTATGACGCTAAATTGAACAATTTATGTGATGAGTTGAAACTGAAAATCAAACAAGGAGATGAAATCGAGTTACTCGAATTGTTACTCAATTGTAAAATTTCGGGATCATTAGAAAATCATTATTTCTTCAGATCAAGCTCGATGTTGATGGCTAAGATTCAGCAGAATGAGAGCAAACAAGTGAGCCAAGAAGTTTCAGTGGCAAGTTCGTTGGAACAGAAGAGATTCGATGAGTTGAGGAAAAAACCATCGGAATGAATATGCAACTATTGTCATGTAATAATCACAATGTCAGACAATATACCAAATTGCATGCTGATGGTTAACCTCTAAAACCAGTTTCGTCGTCTGCGTTGAATACTGAAAGACAAAATAAAAATATGTTACTCACTTTGATATCGAAAGGTTTTCATGTCAGATCATGATAGCTGGTTCGTGGATAATGGTGAAACGAATCATATAACAAACCGAAAAGACATATTCGATTCATATAACTAGTTTCATTTCTGCCATGTAGTCACAACAGCCAATGGTGATAAAATAATTGTGACCTTTGGGAGAAGTGAATCTATCATGGAAGCTGCCACTGGTTAACGAAAAGATGAGATAACTCTGAGCGATGTTTGGTTGGTTACAAAAATTAGAAAAAAAACCTTTTCTGTACTTGCTGCTCAAGACAAACAATGATTTAGTCATTTTCACGTCAACAGTAGAAGAATGCGATTTCGATGTGGATCGACAAGTAATATTAGAAGGTTATAGTCCGCATAAATTACTCTATGAATTGGCAGTAACTAATGTTTCACGAAAAACTGACTTAAACTTGGTTACAAGTGGGTCCTAACTCCAATTTTATCATGTGGGGCTTGGTCATCAGAACAAGAGATACGTGAAAACCCTCGTAGCACGAGAACTTGGGATAAAAGTCAACTCAGATAGCCGAGTATGCAAAGGTTGCGTTTATGAGAAAGCTCGTAGAAAATTGGAAACCCAGCCTGGAGAGATTATACATACTGACATACAGGGTGTCCTGGAATTAGCCTGCCAAACTTTACCAGTGGCTTCTCCGATCAATAATAAAAAGAAAAGTTCCAATGAACATGAGTCGACAAATATCTCCTAAGGAAGCTACGGTCCCCTGAAACAGAACTCCTGAAGCTGATATCTCTTCAATATTTCCGGAACGCAACGTGATAAAATGATGCAATTTGGTACAAGAACCAAACTTTCATGCGGTAAGCATAAAATCATTCCAAAGTTTCATTCAGGAGTATATAATACAGGGTGGAACTACATTAAATATTGCTCAAACTTTTTCGTATGCTTATATTTTGACAATTCAATCTCGGATTATGAGAATCCACACCATCTCACATAAAGGAGGTGCTCCTGTTCCGCATCTATCAGATGAATCATTATCTAGTGAAATCGATTCAAAACTCTTGATGCACTCGCACATGCATAACGTTGCCAATTTTCGAATCATAGTGGCTATGAATAAATCAAGTACTTCATTTTTACCAAATATCCTCATGAAAGCTCAAAAAATAGAAGAATTATGATGAAAAAAGTTCTTTGATTTTTGTGCATTTTTTTCTTTTGCACTACGCCTCATTGCAATGTTGTGCATTATATCTCTGATAATAAAAACTTTTGAATTGCTTCCACTCGATAATAATACATCTGATCATCACGAAATAAAAGTACCTTTTGTCTGTAAAGAGGTGCGCAATTTCATAATCCGAGATTTAATTGTTGAAGAATATGAATCCAAAAAATTCCGAACAATATTTAATGTAGTCCCACCCAATACACTTCTGATTGAAATTTTGGAACGATTTCATCTTGACTGCATTGGGTATAGAAAGTTTAGTTCTTGTACCAAATTGCATCATTTTATCACATGGAGTTTCGGAAATACTCAAGAAATATCATGTTCAGGAGCCCCCTTTCAGAGTCCCGTAGCTTCCTTAGGAGACATTTCTCGACTCATGTTCATCAAGGGTTTTTCATTTCTATTTTTGATCGTGAAAGCCGCTGGTGAAGTTTGGCAGGCTAATTTCGGGACACCCTGTATATGTGGTTCATTCGAATCTTCAATGCAAACTGATCACTATAACGTATTGTTCAAAGATGACTCCCTACGCTTTCGAGAGGTTTTCTGCATGAAAGAGAATTCAGAGGTATCCATAGATCTAGATAAAATACTCAAAGAAATCGATACTGCCGGACACATTGTCGAAAAGCATTTATGTGACGATGACGAATATTTCATTTGAGTATGGAATCGAGCAGCGTCTCATTATGCTATATGTCGGAACAAAATGTGTGTTTTAGAAGATAGAACAGAACATTAGTGGAAATCATTTGATCTCTAATGTATTCACATGGGAAAATTCCACAAGGACTCTGAGCAGAGATTATGAATACGTTCAAATAGACTGTATCACATTTGAAGTGAGACATGCAAATGATTCTGTCGTTTTCGAACCGTCATAACTTTGGATTGAATCAACTAATTTTCAATTCCTTAAATGATTCCAATAGTTTGTAACGTGAAAATTGCTTTTTGGGTAATTGAGACACTCACTCTGTATACGGATCAGTTTATCCAAACTGAGAACTCACATAACAAAATATCATTGATAGCAATTTGAGTTGAGTATTGGTATTGATATTAGGAAGTATCGAAGTTTAAGAGACGCACATCATTTTGAATAGTGCCGTGCGTTTTTATGGAAATGAAAAGGGGTTATTAATTTATGAGATTATATAAGGAATTTTTTCTCAGGAGAACTCACTTCATATTTATTTTTTCATATAATTTCATGAGGGTTTCGAAGGAACGAGTAACAACAATGAATAGTATAACTTGTGTTCTTTCATTTTCTCACCTATTTGAGCTATAAAATATTCCACAATTGCAGACAGTAAATTCTGTTCATTCGGAACGAGTTGATTTTTTGCTCATCCGGATCGAAAGCATGGGAAACAATAATGTCAAGTAATTTCTTCTAAAAAAAATAAAATCCTAATCGACCATTTTTTAATTCAATGAAAAGCAGAGCACTGTCGAAAAGGATCTCCGTTTCTGAAAAGCAGATCATATTGATTGTTATTCTTTTTAGTCGATGGTATGATATGATACCAATCGCACATCTTATAGCTGATATAAAGAGAAAACTGTTCAAAGTGCGGCACGCACTTATAATGTATGAACAATAAAGGACATGAATAATACTGGTATCACGAATCTCGCAATTTTCATGAGATGCCGCCTCACTATTTGACATATTATCGGGAATTCTTATAACCATTCACCAAATGTACCAATCTCTGAGGAGTTAACCACTTGGGATAGAGAATAAGTTGAAGTTAGTACTTTGGAACAATTGAATGACATATTCTACTGCAATAGGCACATCGTGAGTTCATCAGAAGTGGGAAACACTGTTTAGTGATATCCTAACCGAATTCGGTCTCTATAACAATTCATTTCCAATACATCAGCATCTTTGGAATTGTATCCAAGATCAATTGTTTCATCACATTTCATGTTCATCATGAAAATTATTGCACTGAGAATGAATGATTGTGATTTTGTTTGTGTAGAATTTAAATCAAGTGATATTGAATGAAATATCTAACGTTCAAATAGCTGCCAAATGTTAAGAGTTGCCGCTCACCCCGGGCGATTTTGGAACATTATTTCGGACACCAATTTGGATGACAACTCAATCATTGAACAGGGTGTCATTCAGAATTTCTTTCTCAGATTGAGATTCTCAGAACTAGTATTTTCTATGAGAAAAAAATGAATATCACATCTGGTTTCACCGCAAGCCATTTGGTAGGTCAAAAAATTCCTTCTTCAATGGCAAATCACAAGTAGATTTCGAAAATCTCAAAATTCTTGAGGAAAAAACAACTGAATGACATACTGCAAAATAATTTCGTTGTCATTCATACACCTCAACCACAATGATACCTTCGGGTGAGATTATTCTGTGTCAAAATTTTGATTTCAGAGGTGCTTGAGTACGTACTGTAACAATAATTTTTTCCTTCTTGATAGTGAACACTTTGTATAGTTATCGTTGATCTTATGCTCTAGCCATCTGAGAACCATTTTCATAACTGAATGACAAAGGGATATTTCTCATACTGGTGGAAACTATGTTTTGTTTCGGGTTTGGTTATTTTCTTCATAAATGAAGTGAATTCAGCAGTCTTCTCAGGAAGATTGTGAACACTATTGATCTAGAATTCAGACAGTAGACAGTACGTTGAAGGATGTCCACTGTGTCAACTATTTTGGTACGTTCCGAGATGACGCCCTGGTGCCCTGGCGAAGTAACAGCGATTCACTGGTTCATCGTTTTTCTTTATGTTATTCATTTCAATCTGTTCAGTACAATTAGTTCTTTCAGCGTAATATTCCTGAATGTTTGATCTGGCAACCTATAGTGATTGTCAAATTTTCAATATCAATGTCATTGCGCAGATTCGCATTTAAATTACAACCGTTTCTTCATCATAATTTTCAACAACACTCTGCAGAGGATATAGAAACAGATTTCCTGTTGTCTCCTACCTTTTTCAGTCTTGATAAGTCAAGCTCCACGATGCCGAAAACAAAAGGAGTTCTTTTGGGTTTTGAACCGTTGGAGACAGATCGTTGTCCCCACTATTCTTTTGGCAATTCCCCCGGGAAGGTGAGATATTTTTGGGTAATTTTGAAGGATTATTTCCTCTGAAGGTTTCGGAGTTTCGATTTGTAGATTTGTTGGCCTTCATAGCTCAGACAGCCATTGCTGGTTGAGGAAAACATCTTGATTCCTGAGATCTCTGGTGAGCTTGTTTCTCTATATTCACCATGGCGGGTTCTTGAGAGACGTGACACGAAGGGCACACCTTGACAGCTACTGTGGACACCAATTTGGGGATCAGCAGGACCTGGGAATTTTTTCCCCACTTGGTGTCCTATTATCTGGTTCTCTGTTTTCTTTGTCTTCAGGATGTCAGAGTCAACTGTTTCCCGAAGAGAATAACGTGTGGGGCCTAGAAGATTCACTGAAGATTCCGGTTTTGATTCAAGTTTTGAGATTCCGGGATGTTTCGAGTAAAGGTCTACACCTTAAGTCAAATTCCCTTTCGAGTGATAATTTGTTCAACTAGATTTCGATGAGTTGGGTATCGACCGATCATAATAACATATTCTTCACTCGAATGATTTTGCTACATCATAATATTTCTTT